AATCTTGTGATTTTTGTGCAATTTATTGAGGGGAATGCATGGAGTGTGTTTGAATTGTGTTGGGCAAAGTCCGTCTTGGTTGTTTGAGCCCTTGTGTGCAAGAATTGTGCCAATTTCATGCTTACCTTAATAGTGCACACAAGGTGTTCGATGAAATGCCTATTTTCGTACCATTTTGTGGGGGTCGGTTGGGGCCCTTAATGATGTGCTTTGAGGGTGTATTTGGTATGGATGTGAACCTTAAGTTGCCTACTTTAGCGTGAATGTGCACCCCCACTCAGATTATGCTTGATTTATCGAGTTTCTGACCCCCGAACTATGGATGAAACCATGGTTAGGCTGTTTTCTGTTCTTAAGTGTGGGGGTGTGATTAACATTTTCCTTGGCTGTTTTGGTTCCACTTTGGGCTGTTTTTTTTGCAGGACCATGTCGAAGCCCAACCTCCGGCACCAGTTTGTTCAGGATTTGAGAAGGGGGCCCCACCGGGATCGTTTTCAGAACGTCCTGGCCTGCAAGTTTGGGCAGCATCATTACTGGTCCAAGCGCGAGTTGGAGAAGCTGAACTGCTACGAGTACCTCTCCCCCGTTGTCACCAACCGCTACTGGTGCCGCCTACTCGGCATTCGCGCGAAGGTTTACCATGAGCTCGTGCTTGAGTTCTACACTACCTTCAAGCACGCAGCCACGGCCGATTGGAAGGACGAAGCTGCAGTCCAGTTCCGACTCGGCGGTGAACCACGCTCCATGAGTTACGACGAGCTGGCGGACGCCCTCGGCCTCAACCTGGTCAATGACAGGACCTTCATCACCGAGATCGCCGAGCCAGCAGGGGTGGACTTCGGGAGGATGTACTTCAGCCTCGCTCGGCCACGTTAGCTCCCCTTCAAGGCGGGGAAGACGAAGGCCAGCACATTGCAGCTTGAAAACCGTCTCCTCCATCACATGCTGGCCAAGTCTTACACCCCAGCCTCAGGCAGTGCCAGCGCCATCACCAAGAGATCCCTGTACTTCATCCAGTCCATGCGCCAGAGGGATCATCCCCTACACTTGGGCTCGGTGGTGGCGAGGACCTTCGAGAAGAGTGCTTCTGAGCTGAAGAAACTCCACTGCACTACTCTCATCACCTGCCTGGCAGAGTACTTCCAGATATCCCTGCAGGGGTGCACAGAGCAGGGAGAGACCACTCCCTTTGGCCGGGTTACGATCATCAAAATGCTCCTGATTCGAGAAGAGCGAGGTGTCATGTGGATCGAGGGGTTTCCTCAACCTCAGATCCCAGAGGCGGTCCAGCAGGAGGTTCCAGAGGGTGCAACCGATGAGGAGGTCCAGCCCGAGGCCGTGGATGACACTGCTACCGGCCGCCCCACCACCTTCGAGTACGGGGGTGGCAGCTCCAGTTTCCCGGGGCAGGATTACTTCACCTCCCAGTTCGAGCAGCTGCGTCTCCAGAACCAGCAGATCCTCGACCATCAGATGCAGTTCCAGCAGCAGTACGCGGCTCACCAGGCCGAGTACCACCAGAGGATGGCTGTTTACGATGAGAGATTGGACCAGCTCCAGACCCAACAGGGAGTGACTCTCGCACACATCGAGCGGGAGAGGCGCCGCTCTCGGCGCATGCAGAAGGTACAGGGGCATCTGCTCCAGCTGCTACCGGGCAAGCAGCCAGTCTGGAGGACTCTCTGGGAGGACTCCCCACTTCCACCTCCACCCGCTGATGGTAATGATGGTGCTGATGGTGATGACGCGTTCATGGACGACATCGACCTAGATAACCTCGGCGACGAGTAGGCTGTACTCGTTGCCCATCTCAGTGTGTTTTGTTTTTCGTTTTAGACTTGTGTGTGTTTGCTCCATGTGTGAGGAGCTTGAACTTAGTGTCGTTTGTTTTTGTTTTTTTCTTTTGTGGATTGTTTTTGCTGTTGCCGTCTGGGCTAACACTTATCCCTAACACAACGTGTGCTAGTGTGTTCTTGGTGTTCGATTCGTGCAGAACTGTCCATCTTCCCGTTTGTTGCTCGCTGACTGGTCCACTTCCAGTCCCCCAGCAGTTTCAATCCGGTAACATCGTTCCCCTTCTCTATCCCTCTGCTCCATTGAGGGAAATGTCGTGCTTAAGTGTGGGGGGGTGCTTTGTATCGGTTGGAATGTATATATGTGTGCTTGGAGCCTAGTCCACTGTCCAAATCTCGAGATTTGAGGGCTCCAAGTACTGCTGTTTGATCATATTGGCACTGTGTTTTGATTGATGAATTGAATGGTTTTCGGATTGATGCATGACAGCTTGATTGTGACTAGGACAACCTATGATGAGGACTAAGACGTGCAGTAGAGTTGTGTAGGGGTTCAGTTTTTCAACTGTTTGCTTACCAACTGTGACTTGGATTGATTACTTGTTCTTGACAGTCTCTTATGCATCTAGTTCAGGGTATCAGAATGTGAGGTAGAGCATATAGGTAGCCATGTGAGATTTGAGCCTGCTTGTTTCTTTCTTGTGCGATAGATCCCTCTTCCATGATGTGTAGCATTCACGTTGTCACTAGCTAAGATGATGGGGGCATAGGATTAGCCCACGACCAAATTTGACTGTCCTGATGTGTCATATCCACTAGTCAGCCTTTTTGAGCCGTGTGTTATCCTTTCTTTTGGTCTGAAATGAAAAAAATCACCCTGTTTGCATCTTTTAGAAGGTTCCACAGAGTGGGTTTTACATGTTCTCTACTGTTTCTGCTAAATTTAATGTGAGTGTTGGAGGTAGTGCTTAAAAGTTGGGCTGGGCAGGTGTTTGAAATATATGCAGAAGTGGTGGCTCTCTTAAGAAATGAAAAGAAAATGAAAGAAAAACCAAAGAAAAATTGAAAGCAAAGAGAGCCACTACCAAAAATCTGAATAATGCCCAGTAAGTAGTGTTTCTTAGCAGTCTGGCTTGGAAATGCTGACATTTATACCTCCTTCGCTCTTGGGCTCTTGAGATATTGAGTAATGCAGAATAGCAGAAAGGAAATACCGGTTTGTTTTACTGTGATTGTTTGGGTTTGGAAATGTGGAACCTTGTGCTATGAATACTTCCACCACCTAAAAGGCCTTTTCCCCATGTCCAAGACCCTAGCCAGTCATTTGAACCTATGTCTAAGACCTCCTGATTAGTTAGTGGTGACACCCCATATGTGAACTCTAGCATTTAGAGGCTGCCATCATGGTGAAGAGATGTTAGGGATTGAGAGAAATAACATGCGCATTTTTCGCATCAAATTGTCCTGACCCCACTGGTCGAGAGTGAGTGATTCAATTCTCATATTCTATATACTCTTGTACCCCGGTGAGGACCTAGATTGATCGGTCTCTATTCTGATGTCTTGAGTTGGATGCATGAGTTGACTGTTTTGAGTGAGTGGTTGAGTCAAGTCTAGGTTGGTTGGTGAACAGAAGGGAGACTCTTCCTTTACTCGATTTTGCTGCACTCGAATGTCCTTTGTGGTGGTTGTCCAGGTTGCTGTTGAAGTTGGTCATGTATTGATGTTTGAAAACCAGTACGATTCACGTGTTCTGTGCCTTTACGATTTGTCCCCAATGTTGGTTGATTGAAATATGTGAGCTTACCTTGTGTCTGACTTGGTTTTCTTGGGGACAAGCAAACGGTTAAGTGTGGGGGAGTTTGATAGACCGTTAATTACACATGTTTTCACCCCTGTTCTTACACCGTTTGAGATGTGGTTTCTCGTGTTTTAGGCCAATTTCACGCTAGGTTGTGCTTGTTTGTGATATTTCAGGTCCTAGTACGTGAATGGAGGCTTGGGAGCGAGTTTGGGGTCGATTGGACGAAGATCGGGCGCGAGGCAAGTCAAAAAGGAGGCCACACGGGCACACCCACAACTCACACGGCCGTGCAAGTGACCACTTTGGCCGTGTGAGATTGTGCGAGAGCAAACACGGCTTGCCCTGATGTTCACACGGCCGTGTGAAGGAGTGGTTTGGCCGTGCGAGTTTCGCCGAGAGCAAACACGGGCAGATGGAAATCTCACACGGCCGTGCGACCCTGGCCGTGTGAGAAGCCTGAAGATCGAACTAATTGGAACGCAGCGTTTTGACTCACACGGGCAACTGGGTATGCCACACGGCCGTGTGGCCCTGCCCGTGGGAGTCGGGAATTCCTGGTTTTAACCCAATTTCGGGCTGCAAGAGAGGGAATCGGACTTTTTGAGCAAAAACAGAGCCCTATAGAGAGAAAGGACGAAGAACACATCCTAGAAGCTATCTTGGAGCTGGGTTTTATCAAATCAAGCCTGGAGATCGTCATACGAGTGGAAACCATCATCCCAGAGCAGATTCTTCCCATAATTATGAGTATGACTGCTTTGTATCTTGTTTTCCTCTCTCTCTCTATGGAGTAGAACCCCTCTCTCACTTGGGGATGAAGAACCCTAGTTCTGTGTGTTAGGGATTGATTGTAATGACTTGGGATGAGATTACTGTTTGATTTTAATCGAATGATGCATGTTTATTGAGTCAATTGAAGTCTGATAAACTTTTCCTGATTCCTGCTGCAATCTGATATAGATAGAATCTGATTAGGTTGCTAGAGTCTCATCATTCGATAGTAGGAGATTGGCTATACGAGAGTTAGCCAGTTTACTGCTTTGTACGGGAATCCAATTCCAGTAGTGGAGTTCTGTTCTTACTGCTTCAGCTTTCTATCCCGGTGAAGACTAGTCGTCTGCCGGGTAGTTAGACTGAGAGGGCTTGGTCAGCTTAAGAGATTCCAAGCTACTGTCGGATCTTCCGCAGTCTAATCAGCAGTAAATCAACCCTGGGTAATTGCAATTGAAACCTAACTAAGGAGCTAGGGGGACTCATTCCCGAGTGACTCTTACCTGCTTGAGAAAACCGTATCAATTCCTGCTTTCTTTCTGCTTTTGCTTTTAAACAACAATCACTTACTTTAGTTGGCTAGATAATAGAGAATTACGGAGTAAGCAGTAGACCTAGACCCCGGGTTGATAATATTACTTGTCACTTTACTTCATTCCCGGTCTGCGATTACACTTGGTCGCAGATTGGTGTTGTGTTTTGGCGTGTCACAAAGCTAACTCTCATTCCCACGTTGGTGTAACTAAGTTTCTCTCAATTGGAATTTGAGTAGTCCGCCAATCCATGGAGCAAGGTTGCCATCCCCACACCCACATACAAACTCAGACTAATACCATGCTCTTCATGAAACGTGTAAGCTTGCTGCAGCCATTCCATTTGCTTTCCTCTCCCCAAAAAACTTTGCCCAACTCCATACAACAAGACTCCGATCAATCCTCCCGTGCTTGGACCGATACAGCGGTGAACCGGACCTCTTATTCCCATGACGCCTTGGTCTTTGTCGCCATACTCAACGAGCAGTTGAACCGGAGCTAGGGTTAGCTCCTTCACTGCGACTGACCTCGTAGTGGCGGCTACGACATCAAATTTGTGAGACAGTAGTAGAGCTACCTTGCTGAGATCAAGGACTTCTTTCTCCTTGGCCTTCTCCAACACGACTAGGGCTCCCTCTCACGGCGGTAGGGATTCGCAGGTGGTTTCAGCAGTAGCTTCACCTCGTTTCTTCCTCTTCTTCCTACGATAGAGTCGCCTCCCCCTTTAAGGCGGATGTCTACGACATCATCAAGGTTTGCTTCGATCGCAACAACACCAAGACTTGTTGGCGGTTGGACAAGCAATCCTTCCATCTTGTGACATGAGAGGGCGGCCTCTCCCTTAATTCTGACGACTCGATCTTCGGATGGTTGCTCTCGTGTCGAGTTGGGGTGTTCTCAACCTCAATGACAGGGACGACTTCTGGCAATATTGGCGACGGCGGCATAGGTACGGTGGAGGTGGGCGTTACCAGCGACGTGGTAGTGAGGGCGGCGGGTGCGGTAGCTTGGTCACCAATGGCGATGAGCCTTTGGCAGGAAGCCATGACACTTTCTGCGAGTTTGATCATCCGATCGAGGTCGTCCCCGGAGAGCCATTCGGTGCTCATCGTGTCGCAACTACTCTCCTTTCCAAGATTCTCTTGATCCTGTGGTATTAATCCGTTCCCGTTGACTGGTGAGCTTTCAACGTTCATCGGCAAGCACTCCTCTGGCGACGGGTCATCCGATGAGGACCTGACGTTGGACTGGTCGTGGTCTCCCCTCCGGAGCGCGGCAGCCTCGTGTTCAGCGACGTATTGATCTCAATAATCAGCTCCCGATTGATCGAAATCCTCTTGAACGACCAGAGTATAATTCCACATCGGCAGCCGAGCTGAGGATTGGACAAGAAGCTCTGGATATTACAGTCGTGTTGGGAACCCTTGGAATTGGTATCGACTACTTGCGTCGTACTGCAAATTCGGAGCCTCCGCAACTTTAACTCTGGCGACCAAGCTCTCAAGGTCTTGTCGTTGATATCGAGAGGAATGAGAATAATGGTTCAGCCATGGTGGATGATGTGAAGACGATGGATGTGATGACGACGAACATAACAGAGACGGATAGCTAGGGCAGCCAACGACGCGACGAGGAAGGGTCTCCTCATAACTCCGTGCCCAAGGCGTGTATCCTTCTCCTCCTGGATGTTGCGTGAAAATCGGCATAGCGAATTCAGCGCCTAACCAGGCTCTGATACCAATTGATGCGTGATAGTGGAATCTCACGTATCGTGGAACTCTAAATCTTCTACGAAACTAATGAAACGCGATAAAGATAGCTAAATTACTCTAATTTACTTTACTCTTATTCATTGCTTAGCGAAACCCAAAGAACAATGTACATATTTGTAGGAAAACGTAAGAAAACCTAATAGCTAACCCTATCCCATTTTGACAAGGTAACTAATAACTTACTCAACAAGACACAATAAACTAATACGAATATCCCTAAATAATCACAATAACATGACAATTAACTAATAATAATACCCTAACGACTAAGCCCAACTCGACACCAAGCCCCAAGGTGCTATAACGGGTGCTATAATGCACCACAAGTGCCCTGGAAGCCTTGATGTTCACGGCCCATGCCTCCTCTTCACGGTCTTAGTAGACCGTAAACTCACAAGGGAAACCGTGAACTGCCGGGTTTTCACCTCTTCTCCTGGTTTTCGCTCCTTATCGTCAAAGTGTCTGACTTTCGACTCCGGGGCTGGTTTCACCTATTAGATCCCAGAACGTGCTAAAACACAAGAAACCTAGCGTAAAACCACCCTTTTAGGAGGACAATTGCCATAAACTCCTATGGAAAACGGGGGTAAAACACTTACAATTTGGCCCGAATCACTCCCCCACACTTTGACATTTGCTTGTCCCCAAGCAAACCATCAACACTCGGCTCTATTGTCTCAATACCACGGCGGTAACCTCTAAATGCTAGAGTTCATGGGATGGTTGTCTCCATTAGCTTGTCCGGAGGTCTTAGACACGGGTTCAAATGACTGGCAATTGTCTTGGACATGGGGAAACGATTTTTGGATGGTGGCAAACACGACATGAGGTTCTACATCTTCAACCTAAACCCGAAGGTTCTATGGTTTTGACTAAGACCCTTCTCTTTAACCAAAGGCCACTAGCATCGGCCAAAAACCTTATCTCTCCCTTCCAAACTATCACCCATCGTGAACTACATTTAAGCACTCTTCCTCGGTCTACTCTTGCTATCACATTATGGTTTTGTAGTGAAGGAGTTCTAAAACAATATGGGGGGTTTCAATGGCTTGAGTGCCAAGAAACCCCTCCTAGAGCATACACTTGGTTTCCTGTGGCACTCTCTACTTTATTTTTCCCGTTTTATTACCTCTTTTTCGATTCTTTTTTTTTCACTTTCTCTTTTTTTTTAGGGGGTACTAGAGAGTAAAAACACTTGCCACCTATACATTTAACGATCAATGCTCTCTTTTCAAGAACTCACTCCAACACTACACTTCCTTTTCCATTCCTTGCAAGAACAGCACACAAACCAAGATCACATGAGAACTAAACTTTTGCACTATCCTAATGGACCTCTCAGTCATCATCATAGGACATACTCGATCACATGCAACAAATCAAGATCAATGCCAATAAACACGAGATTTTCCCACAAACCGGCCTCTTTGATCATGCAAACATTGCTTGGAGCCCTCAAAATTTTCAAATTTGGGCATACATCAAGGCTCTAAGCATAAATCACACTCACACAAGAATAATAGTAAACTACCACCCACCCCCCCCCCCCATACTTAAGCTCGACATTGCCCTCAATGGCGTAAGATAGGGGTAGAATGATGTTACCGCTTGGGGTTGGTGAGTGAAAGTTGGAATTGTTTCCGGGGTAGGAGATTTGGAGCTTCAAGGAGAGATAAAAAGCACACACATAGACACAATACAACTCGCTCGAGGCGAGGTTATTACAAAACACAATACGATAATAGTAGTAGTTTATGGTCACAGACACACAAAAGAAAGAAAAATAACAAAAACGAGTTAAGAGTTACAAGTGGAGAAGTGGAGCGAAAGAAATCTGCTCCGCCACATGTCTCACTCGTCAGCTACCTCTCGCGGGTGGATGGACCCTCTCTCTCATATGGAAGGAGGCCCTAACGTCGAGCCATAAGCTCGAGGAGGTCGGTCTGCCGGTCTAGGCAAGAAGTCACTCCCACGAAGCTCGTATCTATGCGATCCACCCTCTGGACGAGAGGATCACTTTCTTCTGCTGCTGGTGGTGGTTGGGCTGGGCGCCGGAGTGCGGGACGCTGGCGGCGGCCGGGTGCTCAAGCAGGTGGCTGCTCTGCTAGTGGGACCTCAGGGTCAGTCTCTGCTGGAGCCGGGTCAACTGCTGCTCTGAGGACTCTTGATAGTCGGAGTCCCTGGAGGTACTCCACTCCTCACTCTCCCTGAAGTACCAGCTTCTAGTTCTAAAGGGTTGCCACTAGGAAGGGCTCTGTCCTCCCGACGATGGAGCACCGAGCTAGATCCACGTTAAAGTGTCGGGCAATCCTCGTAATGAGGCCTCCCATGTTCCGCACCAGACACCGGGCGAAAGAAGTGGCAATCAGCAATCCCAGATGGATCGTCTCTATCGAACTCCTCATGGAATAGAGGGCAAATAGCCTTCTGTTCATCATCAGATGACTTGACTAGAGGCTGAGGACGACTGAGCGGGTGAGCAAAGTGTGGAGGATCCTCCAAGGGGTACTTAGCTTCACCGTGTTGGTGTGGCTCCCCTCGAACTCGTCTTGCTCATGCTCGGGGCGGTAGAGGGCCCGAAATGATGCCTGGTAATGGAAATTGACTATGTAATGCCGCTCTGTCATCGTCATGTGGGTGGTGTAGAGCCCCATGGCCTGAGCAAAGGCGTCGTAGGTCAGCACTCATGGCTGACCTCCCAGCATGAACTCCACATGCGGGCGGCTTTTCTTACTAGCCGAGATGACATGGGACAAGGTGGAGTAGAACTCCACGGGGATCTCATGGTAGATATGCTCATCCACTGTCAGGAGCTGGCGCCACTGGGGGAGACAAAGTACCCCGGACATCGCGGCTTGGCACCTGAACAGGTTGAACATGTCCAGGTCCAGCCGGCAATGGGGCCCAATCGGGCTGTCCCTCTGGTAGGCAAACTTCTCGCCAAACTCCGCATAATGCACTAGGTAGTTGATGTACTCGTGATCCAAGTTGAGAATCCTGCAAAAATTGGCAAACATACACCATACGTGGAAACAATCGTTAAATATTCCTCATTGGGAGGAAAAGAGATTCCCCCCCCCCCCCCACACACACACTTATGCTTCCACTAAGGATTGCAAACATTTAAGCTAAAGCACACCGTGGCATGGTTGTGGGTACTTCACAGTTCATTCTTACAAGAATTTGAACCAAAACCACGGTGGCTACCATCCACCAATCAAGCATAAATCGCCACACACATTCACAAAATAGCACTTGGTGGGCAAATTCTAAAAATGAAGGCAATTCGGTTCAAACACGCCCACCAAGGCTCAACTAGGATCATGCAAGAACATTCCACCATTCAATCAACCTAATTCACCTAATTCCTCGCCCTAATTCTAGGTTCAACATTCAAAGCATCTAAATCATCCTCACTTCTCTACCTAATCCGATTCTCCCAAAATTAACAAGGTAGAGCTGAAAAACCAACCTGGAGACGCAAGTAGGACGTAGGAGGAAGTGAGGTGCGGGCGAGGAAGGCGAAAAATGGCCGAAAAACAGGCCGGAGAGGGGTCACTGGAGCTTCGTCGGAGACTCGTCGCCAACGACTTGATCGGAAAAAACTTGCCCCAAATCTCCCCAAAATTGCAGCATAGGCCGGTTTTTACGAGGGGAGAATGGGGATGAAGTTGGTTTGGGTTTTGCTCGCAGGAAAGGGGTAAAAAAATGAAAAACCGCCGGAATTTCGCGGTTTTTCGGCGACAATTCGAAATTTTCGACGAGTTTTGGGTCGTGAAGTGAAGAGTTGGCGTTCACGCCCCTTTTATAGGCGAAGCACGGAGTTCACGGACGCGTTGGCCTGTTCACGGTCTTAGAGACCGTGAACACTCAAATCCGTCCGTGAACTGAGGTTGGTCGGCAAGTGGTGAACAAGCATAAGCGCCTAGTTCACGAACGCGTTTCCCTATTCTCGGTCTTGTAAGACCGTGAACTCATCAATTCGTCCATGAACTTCAGTGAAAACAGGGCACTTCTGAGAAATTTTTTATCACAACACAACCTATTCCACCGTGCCTCCTAATCGATCACAACACAACCTTAAAATGCAAAACCACACAACTTGGCATGGAGATACCACTTGACCACTTGAACTCTTCACTTAGACACAAAAATGAAAATAAGGAAAAGAAAACAAACCTCCGTTGGGTTGCCTCCCAACAAGCGCTAAGTTATCAACATTAGTTTGACAGTTGGGGATCAATCACGTATTGGAACGTGATGCCACCGAGAGTGGATACTCTACACTCTCGGGGCGAGGCTTATAGCCTCCCATCTTAAGCTCCATGAGTTGGCCCTCTTGGTTGGCCAGCTTAGCTTTGGCCTTATCCTTCCTTTGGGCCAAAGCTTGCTTCATCTTTTGCCTCCAAGATTCTTCCTCATTTCCTTGGGCATAGTACCCTCCTTGACTTCCTGCTCAACATCACCACAAGCAACACAAGTAATAGTGGGGTTCGCCTTGAGAGGCTCTCCTCCACTCAGCATTCACATAATTCGAAACCAATTCCTTCACTTCCTCACTTCTAGCTTTAGGGTCAATTTCAAGCTTGATTCTCTACTCACCATCCCTCCAAATTAAGGTTCCCTCATTAATGTCTATCAATGCCTTGGCGGTGGCGAGGAATGGACGACCGAGTATGAGTGGCATATCCGAGTCCTCGCTTATATCGACAACTACAAAATCGGTCGGATAGCAAAACTTGCCTAATCGCACCAACATGTCCTCCACAATGCCTCTCGTGCTAATGGACGAACGGTCGGCTAAGGTGAGGCTAATCTTAGTGCTCTTAAGTTCACCTACTTCTAACTTTTTGAAAAGATTGTAGGGCATCACATTAACACTAGCTCCTAGGTCCGCCAAGGCATTGTCTATATGCTAGTTACCAATACCAAGAAGGATAGTAAAGCTACTTAGGTCGGACTGCTTTTTGGGCAAGCGATTGAGGAGGAAAGCCGAACAGTACTTGCCAAGAGTCACGTTGGCGAGGCCTTCAAGCTTTGGTTTCTTGGTGAGGAATCCTTTGAGGTACTTGGTATATCTTGGCATTTGAGCCATGGCTTCAAGGAAAGGGATATTGAGGTGGAGCTTGTGGAGCATTTCCATAAAACCTCCACACTCGTTCTCCAACCTCTCCTTGTACATCCTCGTGGGGAAAGGAAGAGGTGGCTTGTACTCAACCTCCGGAGGTGGTGTCGGCGATGCCTTCCTTGCCGCTTTCCTCTCTCTCCTCGAGGGCCCTTTCTGCATCCTTTGGGTTGGCGTCTTCCTTCTAATCACTTCTTTAGCGGTGACACCCGGAGTCACCTTTCCACTTTTCACTTGAATTGCACTCACCCCAGCATGATCCTTGGGGTTCGCCATGGTTTGGGAAGGTAGGGCTCCCTTTGGTCTCTCGGTGAGGATCCCGGCAAGATTGTCGATTTGCAATTCCAAGCTTTGGAGGCTCGCTTGATGGCTTCGGAGTACCGCTTCAACCAAGGTAAATTTGGTAGTCGCCACATCCATGAATTGCTCAATCTTCTCGAACTTTTGAGCACTCGTGCTCACAAAGGTGTTCACTAGGTCTTCAAGCTTGGATAGTTTGTCGGGTTGTTGTTGTTGTTGAAACCCTTGACCATCTTGTGCGAGATATGGTTGTTGGAAGTTCGAGCTTTGGACTTGAGGCCTTTGTTGGATGAAGGTTGGCCGAGGTTGATAATTGCCCGTGGGGCCTTGAAAACCCGGGGGGCTCAAATTAGTCGGTGATGGCCAAGCAAAATTGGGATGTTTCCTCCATTCGGGATTATAAGTATTGCTATACAGGTTATTAGCCCTAGCATTTGCCACGAATATGACTTGCTCCTCCAGAGTGGTCGCCTCCTTCATTGCTTGGCACTCCGCCATCTCATGGCTAGTGGTCAAACACCAATCACAAGACATAACCAACCTCTTTCCTTGCTTCTTATCTTCAAGAATTACCTCTATCAACTTGTCCAACTTCGCCTCAAGTGGAGTGCTCGCTCCCACACTTCTCACTCCCCTATCATTGCTTCTCCTCCCACTTCTCATCAATCCCCAATCTTATCCCTTGAGGGCCATTTCTTCAAGTAGCTTGGTCACTTGGGGTGGAGTCATATTCATCAATTTCCCTTGACACAGTGAGTCAATGAGAATCTTGTCTTCTTGGATTAGACCACCGTCGAAAGTTTCAATCTGAAACTGTTCTTCGAACCCATGGTGAGGGCATTGAAGAACATAATCGGAGTATCTCTCCCAAGCATCCCTCAAGGTCTCCTCTGATTCTTGCTCAAAATGGATAATCTTCTTTCTCCACTCGGCCGTCTTCGAAGGCAGGCAGTAGCGGGACATGAATTTGTTGAGAAGATCGTCCCATGAGGTAATTTAACGAGGAGGGCGGTTGTTTAGCCACCGGAGTGCTTTCCCCGCAAGTGAATAGCGGAAAAGCCTCAGTTGCGAAGCTTCAGCCGGCATGCCATTGATTTTCAAGCTCCCCGCGAGCTCTAGGAATCTTTGCACATGCTCTCTTGGTGACTCGGTCGAATGACCGTGGAACAAAGCTTTTTTTGTATCATGGTCACTAGAGCCAGCTTGATCTCGAAATTGTTGGCCACCACGAGAGTTGTAGGATTGGCGATTGAATGTCCACCGGCCGTGGGGCCATATAGTATCACATTGTCCTTGGGGCTTCATCTTCCGCCGCCGCATCGTTTTAGATTACGAGCTTGGGCGGCTCTTGCTTCTCTTTGGTTCCCCACCATTTCTACTCCAATGTCGGGTTCACCTTCCACTTCTTCAACTTCTACTCCACTAACATCGGGACCAAATTGTTTTCCCCTTTATTCACATCTCCTCCTCGCCTCCGATAGCTCCCTCTCCCGTGCTAGGAGTCGGAGAGTTCGGTTTATGTCCTCGACACGGGGTAGCAAAGATGTCGGATTGCTCCGGGTCATGCACCTCCCTACACACAATCAGAAAACAACACCAAGTCTAGCACAAGCTAAGCACACACACTTTCAAAACTGGAAATTAAAAGCTAGATTAACACCAAACAACGTTTTCAAGATAACAGACCGTTGTCCCCGACAACGGCGCCATAAACTTGAATCGCTCCGAATATCACAATTAATTCCCTCCTAAGGTCCAATTATAAACCTTAGTAGGGTGCAATACAGGGAAAGTATATTAAATATCGACTTGGGCCGGTTCGTGTACCCCTACTTCAATTGTTTCAAACATTATCTAGCAAATCTGTTTTGGTTGAAAAGTTTGTTAATTAAAGTAAAACAAGGCAAAAGTAAATGGTTTTGAAAGCTCATTGTAAGAAGGATCACTCGGGTGTCGCTTCCCCCTAACTACTACCATAACATGTGAATCGAAGTGATTGCTATGGGCAAGGAGACAGCGAACCGCTAGGAAATACAACAATGGTCGTAGACCACACTCTCGATTGCCAAACCAAGGGATTCGTCATAGGGTACTCAAGTAGCCCTCTTGGTTAAGGCAATTGATGGTTGAATTACTCTCTCACTCAACCCAAGGTTTGGTTGGCTTAATCACGCTTAACCAAATTGCTTATTTCAACATAGAGGTTTGCCCTACATTAACCTAGATTGGTGACTTAAAAATCCCAAGGAATCCCAAGTCAATTGAGCCTCCCTTGAAAGGGGTTTTCCCTCTAATCTAGGTTAGAATGGCCAATTGGATTGCTAAGCACACACATGCATAATCAACATGAAAAATACCTCAATCTTTGAATCAAACAACACCCGTTATAATCATTCAAACCACACAACAACTACATGGTAAACAGTTAGGGTTTCACAATACCCAAGTGAAAAAGGAAACCACTCCATGCTAGAAAGGGAAAGAACACAAGAGAAAGAGGTAGAAACCATCATGGTGATGCCTCCTATCTCCTTTGAGCTTGTGTTAATCTTCTCTTGGGGAGAATCTTCCCAATTCACCACTAGGAGCAAATTGTAACCTTCTTTCTTCTTTGGTTTGTTCTTTCTCTCTCTATATTCTGAAGAAGAAGAAGATACTTTCTCACTCATGGGCTCCCCCCTCATATCTTCCTTTCAGCTCTCCTTTTAAACAGGGATCGGGCTCAGTTCACAGCCGTGAACTCTTGAACGCGTCCATGAACTCAAGGTTGGCATCGAAACCCACCGCTTCTCTTGCTCAGGTTCACAGGCAACAGCTCCAGTTCACGGTCTTAGTGACCGTGAACTTGCCTGGCGTCAGTAACTTCGGCAAGTGCCCTGGACGCCTTGATGTTCACGGCCATGCCTCCTCTTCACGGTCTGCTCACAAGGGAAACCGTGAACTGCCGGTTTTTCACCTCTTCTCCCGGTTTTCGCTCCTTTTCGTCCAACTTTCGACTCCGGGGCTGGTTTCACCTATTAGATCGTGAAACGGGCTTAAACACAAGAAACCTAGCATAAAACCACCCGTTTAGGAGCACAATTGCCACAAACACCTAAGGAAAACGGGGGTAAAATGCCCCCGAATCACTCCTTAACTAGGCATTGAATCTCAACTAAAGAAATCATGGCCCTCTTGAGTCGATTTCCTAGAGGAACACATCCTTTTCTAGAAAAACCGATCAAGGTGTTCTGAACTAGAATCCCTCTATCGAATGAGGTTCTCAATCGATACAAAGCAGTAAATAGACCATTGACTAAAGCAATCGATCCAATACTATCAGTCTATGGTGTTCTATTGACCTAATAAAGTATTCACTCTCATAGGACCAATGCAGAATCAATAATCTCGACTAAAGTAGAATTGAATCATGAAAACATGTATAGATTGAATATGAACTCAAGATTATCAAATAGGAGTACTCATACAATCATCCAATCAAATAAACATGGCTAGGGTTCCTCAAAACCTAAGTGAAGGGAACTTACTTCATAGAGAAGAGCGAGAATGTAGTATAACTTTCCAGATCTTCAATCTTCATGTCTAGACTTGTTCTTTGTGCTTCAATAGTGAAGAATCCTCCAAAATAACTCCAATAATGGCTCTAGATTGCCCTCTCTCTCTTTTTGGTTCGTCCCTTGGGTGTTTGGGAAACAAAACCCCAGCTTCTCCCACCAAAACACACAAAATAGGCTTTTATACCCGTTTCTGAAAGTTACCCGGCCGGGTATTTAGATACCCGGTCGGGTTTTTGGACCTCTTGACCGGATATTTTTTCTGATCAAAATCCCCTATAAGGGAATTGGGCCTCCAGACCGGGGTTTTCACCATTCTAGTTTCCCTATCTTTGATTCTTCCTTCTTCCTCGTCAAGACTCTGAATTAGGTGTCGTTTGATCCCAGACGCTCGTAGTCTCGTGCTCTTCCTTCTAATGAAAAGTTTACATGATTACTTGGTCACAAAATGAGGTAGAAATCCATTATTATTCGGATCATGCTGAGTTTCTCCCTCCGACTCGCCAATTGATCTCCGATTGACTTGAAACTTGCGCTTATGCTTCACTTTACGTGCTAGGACCTAAAATGTGACAAAGGAACACAACCTAGCGTAAATATATGCCAAAGAAGTGATAATGCAAGCTTAAACGATAAAGAAACAAAAAGGAAAATATGTCCAAATATCAAGTCATCAGAAACCCATGGCAGTCAACGCTCTGATCCATGTTGGCCCCGCAAAAACAGGCAATAACACAATTAATGGGTCGATACGAATGATTTACTAAGCATTTCAAGACACGCAGAGAAACATTGTGATGATTCCAACCTTGTAATTGTTTAGCCACCTCATCCTCAATGAACCTGAACGTGACAGGTTTGGAACGTTGAACCAGAGAGGGGAGACCCAAATACTTGTCAAGTTCTACAATAACCCAACTTTTAATAAAGCCCTGAAATTTGTAGCCTCACCTAGCAGCATGTTTTATTTAGAACACCACCTCAATTTTAGACAAGTTAACACTTTACCTGCTCATTCTCTCGGACCGTCCGACCAATTCTCACATAAAAGGAAGCCCCTGTTGGGCCTGGCCTCGTCTTCTACATACAATTGAAAGGCCCAGTCTCTAAATAAGCCTGGTCGCTTATCCTCATACTACGATGAGAGCCCAGTAGCGCTTCATCGTCACTATCTCTGTCATCAGCTTCAACAAAGGCTTCGAACGAAAGATTCCATCATCGATCTCTGCTACAATCAATTCCTCCCAACGGAAACCTGCATTGATGATGAGAGACAGAAGACTAGCTCCTCCGAGGTCTATATCAAGAACTGCTCAGAACAAAGAAGGTGACGGTTTTCCTTTTCTCAGTAAGAGTGTGGATCTCTTTGGGAGTCTAGGTCTGGGTCTGTGTAAGTGTCTGGAAAGCTTGAGTTGGGGCCGTGTGCCAGGGACTCAAGCTTATCCGGGCATAGCTTTCATTCTCGCCTTGTTATCTTGGATCTTCGTTAAAGAATTGTTGTGTCTCAATTCAGTGTTGTGTCTCTTCAATTGAATATGTATTAGGTCTCCCTATTTCTCGAGTGTTTCAATTGGAATTGTTTTTCCTTCTTACTGCGCGTTCTCTTAATCTAATCTACCAAGGGATTGGAACTTGATACATAGTGAAATATCAATTGGTATCAGAGCCTCCTTCTCATAAGAACTAAGAGTTGCTGAGAAGGAGATCCTCTGCTCACCATGTCTTCAAGTTCATTTCCAACCAGCTCAAACCCCCCCGTGGTTTTTTGGTTCCAATTACTCTGTATGGAAAAAGAGAATGTGACTGTTCCTTCGAGGAATCGATTTTGAGTTATGGGCAATTGTCCGAAGTGGACCAATTGACATGAAAGAGGATGATGAGGACGAATGGTCAGATGAACAAAAGAAAAGTGCTCAACTAGATTCTAGGGCAATGCATATCTTACTTTCTGCTATATCTGAAGATGAGGGTGAAAGAATTAATAAATGTGAGTCTGCTAAAGAAATTTGGTCAATCCTAGAAACAACACATGAAGGTACATCAGAAGTCAAGGAAACTAGAATTGACTTGTTGCTTAAAGAATACGAAACCTTTGACATGATCTCTGGTGAATCCATTTCTGATATGGATAAGAGATTCTCAACCTTAGTCAACATACTTAAGGGATTAGGTAAATCATTTACAAGCAAAGAGCTTGTTAGAAAAGTTCTCAGGTCACTTCCTCTTGAATGGATGGCCAAGAGAACAACCATTGAGGAAGCCAAAGACCTTAATGTTCTCTCACTGGAAAATCTCATTGGATCCCTCCTCAGTCATGAGGAAGTTCTCAAACATATGAACACTCTCCATGACAAGAAAAACAAAACTATTGCATTTCAGTCAGTTTGCTCTATAGAAGAAGAAAAATTAGATGAGGATTTTGAGAACGAACTTGCCCTTACCAGTAAGAAACTTCAAAGAATGATAAAATACAAGCATGACCTTAATGCTAAAAGGGGAGGAAATGCTTACCCCTCCAGAGCTTCTGGAAACTCAGCACATCATACCTCAAAAATTCCTGGACATCACACTATTGGAACAAAGGATAAGAATTCCTTTGCTTCCAACAGAACAGACTTTGGTCCTAGAGACACAAAAACATCAAATGACAAATCTGACTCTACAATTTGTTTTAAATGTGGCAAAACAGGGCACATCAGAGCAAACTGTCCTCTGAATAAAAGGAGAGAGCAAGCAATGACTGCTTCGTGGAGTGACTACAGCTCTGAAGAGGAATCAGAAGTAGTTGCCTACATGGGACTCAACTCCTGCTCAGGAGAGGAACCAATCTCTGAAAAGGTATGGTCAGATTCCTACTCAGATTCTGTCTCAGAAACGTGCAATGAAGACTTCTTTCTTCATGCTCTATCAAACCTACAAAATGAATGTAACCTGTTGAAAAGCAAATTCTGTCTTACTATCACTCAACTGCATGAGAAAGAAACAGGAATCATTCGACTTCAGAAGCTTGTAGAAAGTCAACAAGTTGCTCAATTCACTCAAGACACTCAAGTAACTAATCTTATTGCAGAAAACAAAGAACTTAAGAAGAAAATTTATCAAAAACAGAAACTGTTGAATCAAAACTTTTGGAAGCACAATCCAGATCTTAAAACTCACCACCTGGATGACTCTTACAGATACATGAACCCCCAGAAACACTCTGAACCTCAAAGATATCCACTGTTTTGTTCAAATTGCAACTTGCCTGGACACAACCAGTCTTATTGCTTTTACAAGAAATCAAAACCCAAACTTGTTTGGGTTGTTAAAACTTCTAACTAATCTCTTTTCATTTCAGAACAATAAAAGTGGTAACATCTGGTACTTAGATTCTAGATGTTCTCACCACATGACAGGTAACAAAGATCTGTTTACTTTTTTAAACCCAAAAAGAGGTGGTAAGGTGTTCTATGGCAATAATAATTGTGCTTCTGTCGTTGGAAAAGGAACTATTAATGGGAATTCATCCTTAATAATTGAGGATGTTCTCTATGTTGAAGGACTAAAACACAACTTGCTCTCAATAAGTCAAATTTGTGGGTCTACCTATCGTGTTATTTTTGACCCGTTTTGCTGCATAATAGAACGCATCTCTGATAATGTAGTTATATTCAAAGGCAAGAAAATAAACAATGTTTATACAGTTGACTTATCCACCATAGACATCTCTGAGGATATCTGCTTAAGCTCAATTTCTGACTCTGTAATAAACTGGCATAGAAAGCTGGGACACATGAGCATATCTAGACTTGCCAAACTATCCAAACTAAACATTGTTAGTGGACTGCCTGTAATCAAGGCTTCAGACAACTTTACATGTGAAGCATGCATACTAGGAAAACAGTGTAAAAAGTCATTCAAAAACAAATAGAATATTACATCTAAAGCTCCATTTGAACTATTGCATATGGATTTATTTGGTCCCACAAACGTCCAGAGCCTTGGTGGTAAATCCTATGTATTTGTCATAGTTGATGATTATTCTAGATTCACTTGGGTGTTCTTCCTGGCATCAAAAAATGAAACTTTTCTCAAATTCAAGTCATTTGTCACTTTAATTCAAAATTAATATGATTGCATAGTTAAAAGCATCAGGAGTGATAATGGTGGTGAATTTATTGATGAGTGCTTTTCTTGCTTCTGTGATGAACTTGGAATTTTACATACCTTCTCTGCCCCCAGAAATCCACAACAGAATGGTGTTGTGGAGAGGAAAAACAGATCCCTCATAGAAACTGCTCGCACCATGTTGTTGGAGTTTGACTGTCCCAAATTTCTTTGGGGAGAAGCTGTGAATACTGCTTGCTATGTCTTAAATATAACTACGGTTAGAAAAGAAATCAACAAGACACCCTATGAGATTCTAAAAGGAAAAACCCCAAAATTATCATACTTTCATCCATTTGGTTCCAAATGCTTTATACTAAACACAAAGGATACTGTTGGAAAGTTTGATGCTAAGTCAGATATAGGAATTTTCCTTGGATACTCCAGCAAAGGTCAAGCTTATAGAATTTTTAATAAAAGGTCAAGAAAAGTTGAGGAGTCTGTGCATGTTCGGTTTGAGACCTCACATCCATCACTGCCCTTACACTCTAATCTTGATAACTATGATTTTCTGCCTCTTAGCTCACCTATTGAGACAGGTAACAACCCTGATGTTGAAGAATCTCCTAAAACTGAGTCTAACAACTCAGTGCAGCCATTGGCAGACTCTACTAGACTTCAGGACAGTGTGGAAGCTCCACCTCATATCAGAAAACGACATCCACCCTCCCTAATCATAGGTAATCTGACTGACCCTGTTCAAACAAGAGGAAAGCACATACCAGGTCAGTATGCATTTGTCTCTATGCTTGAACCTAGAAATTTTAAGGAAGCCATCTTGGATGAAGAATGGCTGCTTGCTATGCAAGAAGAGCTTTCTCACTTCATTAGACTGAAAGTTTGGGAACTTGTTCCTAGACCTCTTAACATCACCATTATAGGCACAAAGTGGATTTTCAGAAACAAGTCTGATGACCTAGGATACATAATTAAAAATAAAGCTAGGTTAGTTGCTCAAGGTTACAACCAAGAAGAGGGAATAGATTATGATGAAACCTTTGCACCTGTAGCCAGGCTTGAATCAATTAGGCTTCTCTGTGCTTATGCCAGCCACATGAATATCAAATTATTTCAAATGGACATAAAGAGTGCTTTTCTTAATGGTGAAATCAAGGAGGATGTCTATGTTGAACAGCCTCCTGGTTTCATTGACAGTGAATTCCCTGATCATGTATACAAATTATCCAAAGCTTTATATGGTCTTAAATAGGCTCCTAGGGCCTGGTATGATAAATTAACGTCATTTTTGATATCCCAAGGATTCAGTCAAGGTGGAGTGGATAAAACCTTGTTTATAAAACACAAAAACTGTCATTCTCTGATAGTCCAAGTCTATGTAGATGATATTGTGTTTGGTAGCACTGATCCTACTTTGTGTGATGAGTTCTGTTACACTATGAAAAACATGTTTGAGATGAGTCTTGTAGGTGAGTTGAATCACTTTCTAGGGCTCCAAATACACCAAACTGACCTAGGAATCTTTATTCATCAATCTAAATATCTACAGTCCATGCTGTCTAAATTTGAATTGACCAAAGTCAACCCCTCCAAGACTCCCCTGGCTTCTAATGCTCACCTAGATTATGACCTAGTGGGGATCCCTGTGTGTGAAAAGAAGTATAGAGCCATGATTGGATCCCTGCTCTATTTGACAGCTAGTAGGCCTGACATTCAGTTCAGTGTATGTCTATGTGCCAGGTTCCAACATCAACCCAAAGAAAGTCATTTAACTGCTGTCAAACGAATTTTTAGATACTTAAAAGGCACTTGTGACCTTGGTTTGTGGTACCCCAGATCTGAGTCTCCCTCTCTAGTAGGATACTCAGATTCTGATTTTGCTGGAAGCATCACTGACAGAAAAAGTACCAGTGGTACTTGTCAATTCTTTGGACAATCACTTGTGTCCTGGTCCAGTAAAAAACAAGGATCAGTTGCACTGTCTACAACAGAAGCAGAATATATTGCTGCTGGTAGCTGTTGCACCCAAATTTTATGGCTGAAATCCCAACTCCTAGACTATGGTCTGAAATTTGAACACATCCCCATACTCTGTGATAACACAAGTGCAATCTGCATGTCAAAAAACCCTGTTCATCACAGTAGAACTAAACATATCGAGATTAAACATCATTTTATTAGAGAAGTCATACAAGCTGGACACATAGAACTAAGTTTCATATCCACTGAATTCCAAATAGCTGATATATTTACAAAACCGTTATCTTCTGAACGGTTTATTCGACTTTGTGGGGAACTGGGATGCAATCACTTCACTCCATTCGAGACAGTCACTAAAACAGGTTCTGCCCTTCCTTTACTACTGGTCTTACTTATTAATTACATTAGCTGTGTTCTCTTGTTGTTTTCAGTTTGTGTGCATGTACTTGATGCCTCGTTATTCCATATTGTGTGATTTTCATCACTGATATTTAGTTCTGTACCTCTTCCCCTTCTTTCCTGGCTTTATATATTTCCTGCTTCGTGCCGAACATCAGTCCACCTCAGTCTTGTCCCTTAAGTAATTTAGTCATGACTGATCTTTTCACCTCATCCAACATTCCAGGTGCTATTGTCACCTATGTTGGGAGGACCTTCAACGAGCCCATTGACTTCAATCTCCACCGTTTCAAAGAGTTATTTGCCTCTAGACCTCTTTCTGACCCCGTCACTCTCGACATGTTTGAATTCAAATCTCTTGGTGTGGACATCACTCCATTCATTCGCAATCTGGGGTGGGAGTTTCTTCTCTACTATCCCCCTCTTGCTGCCTGCCCTTTGCCTGTCCACACCTTCTATGCCAATCTTGACTGTCAAGGAATAACCACTCGCAAGCTCACAACACTTGTTAATGGTTACTTCATTTCTCTCACATCAGAAGCTCTTAGCCTTCTCCTGAATCTCTCAACAGGAGGACCTCTTCCCTTGGCCCATGAAGATGAATTTCTCTTTTATGACTTTGACCATGTGATTGAGTACTCAAGAATCACTCAACGCACTGTAGGGGCACAAGAGGTCATTACCTCAGCTGATCTAAACTCATCCCTTCGCACTTTACACTACCTCATCACCCACCTGTTTCTGCCTAGGAATCATGGTCACAATATAGTCACCAAGATAGATCTCTGGATTCTCTCAAATGCCCTCACAGGCAGGAAGATTGACTACTCTCAGCTGCTGTTTGGTTCAATAGTTCGAAGTGCTGATGCTCATCTTGGAGGATGCCTCCCCTATGGTGGGTTCATTACCCTCCTCCTGTCCAATTTAGGAATCTCGCTTGATGGCTACTCCACCATTGAAAAATCTATCTCTGTTCCAGCCCTCCATGTTCTACAGCTTATTCATGTTGATCCTCAGCCTTCAAAAGGGGGAGACACTTCAGGACCAGCTTTAAGGAAATCCAAACCTCTGTCCAAAACAATCTCCAAATCGATGATTCTTGGTAAAACCTCATCAGTGTGCAAAAATCTCATCATTTCTTTTGAAGAAGGAGAGGCTGAACTAGAGCCTGAATCCATATCCGAAAAGGAAATCAAACTATTTGCTGAAGACCTTGAGAAAGAACTGATGGAAGGGGATGATGGCACTCAAATTGAAGACGAGATGAAGGAAGCTAGAACTCAGGGGGAGACTCAGGACACTCTTCCTGAAAGTGAAGAATCTTAGAAATCTAAATCTCAGGGGGAGTCAGAAAAACTTCCTTGTTCTGAAATCCTCCTCTAAGAAAGATGGTCTTAGAGAATAAATCGTGTTCAGTAGTAGTCTACCATTTTCATGTCAAAGACCATAATGGTCTAAGTGTGGCTTCTAAATCCTGATTGTTTCCAGTAGTAGTCTGTCCTTTTCGTGTCAAGACCATAATGGTCTAAGTTTGGTTTCTAAATCTTGTCTTGAATCAAGTCTTTGATGATGATCTAAATAAATTACTCAAATTCAATGCGTGGTGATGTGTGTTGTGAAGTCTCTTAAAGATCAAGCTTGCTTTTAAAAATATGCTTGTATGACTGCAGAACTCTTAGTCTCTGCAGCACCTTGGCTGATTACAGGATGGTTGACTCGAGCGCAGGGGGAGATTGTTGAGCCTGGCCTCGTCTTCTACATACAATTGAAAGGCCCAGTCTCTAAATAAGCCCGGTCGCTTATCCTCATACTACGACGAGAGCCCAGTAGCGCTTCATCGTCACTATCTCTGTCATCAGCTTCAACAAAGGCTTCGAACGAAAGATTCCATCATCGATCTCTGCTACAATCAATTCCTCCCAACGGAAACCTGCATTGATGATGAGAGACAGAAGACTAGCTCCTCCGAGGTCTATATCAAGAACTGCTCAGAACAAAGAAGGTGACGGTTTTCCTTTTCTCAGTAAGAGTGTGGATCTCTTTGGGAGTCTAGGTCTGGGTCTGTGTAAGTGTCTGGAAAGCTTGAGTTGGGGCCGTGTGCCAGGGACTCAAGCTTATCCGGGCATAGCTTTCATTCTCGCCTTGTTATCTTGGATCTTCGTTAAAGAATTGTTGTGTCTCAATTCAGTGTTGTGTCTCTTCAATTGAATATGTATTAGGTCTCCCTATTTCTCGAGTGTTTCAATTGGAATTGTTTTTCCTTCTTACTGCGCGTTCTCTTATCTAATCTACCAAGGGATTGGAACTTGATACATAGTGAAATATCAGCCCCTTATAAAAATTATGCATGGCTGCTTCCACCCACTTGCGGCGAAGCTTTTCATCCCCCACACAGTCAACACGGTGGCCCCAACCTCGGTCAAGCTTCAGGTAGTATCAGCGCTTTCTTCCTCTTGGTGATTGTTGCCTTGCTTCCCTTCGTGTAGACGTAAAATCGAAGTAAGGATGTGAAAGAGAGACGCGGATAAGGGGGGAACGGGGAGAGAAAGAACGGGGACAAAAGTGAAGTGATGATCGAGAGAGGGAGGGAGAGATTTCACTTTTCTTTGTTTTCTGTCACTTTCGGCATAAAAAAATGAAGGAGAAATGATGGTGAGAATGTGGGATAGAAAGGCTGCAGCTGAAACGTGGGTTGGGTAGAGTTTACAATGATATATATTTTGCCATATATATATATATGGTGCCTTCTACGGTACTCCAGGCGAAATCTATGATACCGCATACTTTGAGTATGAAAATGCTATCTAGACTTCGAATTAGGAGGATTTTTAAACCTGATACTATACTCAAACCCTTAATGAGTGAACCCTAGTTCCTAATTATCTAAATTATAAACTATAAACCCTAAGATGGATCATTCATTTTTGGCCTTTATAGTTTATGATTTAGATAATCAAGACCTAGGGTTCACTCATTAAGGGTTAGGGCATAGTATCGTGCCCAAAAATCCTGCTATTCGAGGTCTAGATAGCGTTTTCATACTCAAGGTATGCGGTACCCTAGATTTCGCCCGGGGTACCGTAGAAGGCACCATATATATATATGACAAAATATATATCATTATAAACTCTACCCAACCCACGTTTCACCAGGCGTATGTTGTACGCCTGTGTTCACACCTATTAAAATTTTTAATTTATTATAATTAAATAAATAATTGATACAAATTATAATTACTACACAACTATTAATTTAATTTCTTATACGATTTAGTCGCAAATAAATTTCCCATCGTTATGCTTAATTCAATCATGTAAATATCCAATTGAATTACAAAAGACATTCGTTTCCTTGGGCCATAACATTTTAGTCTTTGTTTCAGAGAGCCATTGCCCCCTTTTCATGACCTAGTTTCTTCGCTGCTGAAACTCCAATTCCAACTCAATCATCAATTTGACTCCTGCCATCGAGACCCAAATGGTCCAAATCTAATACACCCTACTTGACAACAAGGAACAGAGGCTTCATATCAGAGTTGCGGACACGATGACGCCAACATTTCGTACTGCTTTGACAAATCTTACACCGTCTTCTATCTATTCAATCTCAACAAATTGCAAGTCGACGTGATGGAGACAGCGTGAGTTCAAAACGGTGCCATCTTGAAGAGCCTTAATGTGCGATTGAGAAACAGAGCACCCACCTTGCGTTCCCGGCGAGGCACTGCCCCACTGTGGGAGACGGCGGTCACTTCGCCGGGTGCGGGACTCTGGTTACAAAGTACGGCCTTATCGCCGATAATGTGATCGATGCTTATTGATGGATGCTCCCAATAGGATTCTGAAGAGAAAGGCCATAGGGGAAGAGGTTTTCTGGACGATTGGAGAGGTGACAGACCGATTAAGCTTTGGAATTTTGTGTTTGTGTTGTTGTGGGGGCTGAAATTAGTCATAGTTCCCAACAAACTGACGCTCTTTACTATTTCAAAGACGCTGGAGGAAGGGGCGAACAAGATGATCCATATATGGCATCTATTTGCACACTACATGGACTCAGATTTGTTCATCCAAATTTATATTCTCACCCGGTGGATACAAAAAGGAGAAGGCGGATTCTGAGTTCCAATATATGTTCCTTGAAAATGATTGACATGGTTATCCCATTGATGAACACCAGGTTTTTAGAATTGGGCCTACTAGATTGCGAGGGAGGGCGTGCTAGAAATAGCAATTTAACTTTTTATTATGGACTTAAAGCTGGATGTCTCAAAGTCAAAGGTACGATTTGAAGAAAAAGGGTACGAGAATTTGTATAATGATTACTTAAATGATTGATTAAAGCATAACTAGTGGTAAAAATTGTTTGGGTACTGAAACGTACACAAATAATTATTGGCTATAATTGTAAGTTTAATTATCATTAATAGTTAATTTAATTAAAAATGAATTTTTAGGTGTGAACACATGCGTATAGCGTACGGCAGGTGTACGCTAGCCTTTGCAAGCAAATTACTAAATGATACATTCAAATCAAATTTCATTTTAGTCATTAAATTGTCTAGTACCTAATGATTTAGTGTACATATATAGGGTCAGATTGGTGTACACCTGGAATACACTATACTCCAAGTGTGATGCTGGGAATGTGGGATAGAAAGGCTGCATCTGATACGTGGGTTATATTATGTTTTTTTTTTACTATTTTATGTGTCTCTATTTATGATATTATTATTTATAAGATAGTGGTTTTCTAATGATTTTTTAATGATCTAATACCGATTGAAGTGCTAAAATGTGAGTCTTTCACATTAGCGGGTCATGATCCGGTTTGGTTCTCACAACATTAGTTTTACTAACTTGTATGCTCGATCAAACTGTTAAAATTGGACGATTTTGATAGAATTTGTCTAGTTTGTCCAAATTATTATTATCTTTCTTTAAAACCTAAAGAATGGATACGCTTTATTACCAAAACTTCTATTTACTGTTTCACTTTTTGTTGTTTTGTGCGTGCACCCCTCAGAGACCTCCTCGCAGAGACCACCACACCTTGCTTCTGGAATCGCTGCCAGCGTCGACGGATGAAACCTTGCTCCTTCTCCGTCCACTCCACCGTGCTCTCCGTACATCAAGCCCATGCCTTTGCTTTTAGTCTTGGACCTAGAAATCCGGAATAGCATGTCTTCTAGTCAGTCTGTCACTCCACTTTGCTTTCCCGTACTCCAACTCATGTCTTCCTTCTGCTTCTACTGTGTTGTCCTCTCCCCACCAATTGGTTACGATTGTACTTAGTGGGAGACAAATGGTTCCCCCTCTCTCTCCCTCCATAATCCCCTTCTTCTCCCTTACAACGAAAACTCTAAAAGTTTCCTCGCTGGTGGTCGCCGTGGAACCCGTGTCGCAAACGGTCCGTCCGCGACGCGGCATGAAAAATAGGAATCGCCACCAATCTATCAAAGTGGATTGGACACTTGGGAAGCCAAGCTTAAATCGGTTAAGATTTAGGCTCGACCCAGTCTGCAAAATAGATTTTTTTGGGTTCGGGGGTCGGTTACGAGTAAAGAAGGTATTAGCACCCGTACATCACCCTATGTCGGTACTATAAGTTTGAATTGTCTTTTTATATTTTTTTGTTTGAAATTATTTGGATTTTCTTTGTATATGTGATGTCATTTTTTAAATATATTACATGTTCATCAACATGTAATTATGTTGTAATTATGTTAGAAGAATGAATTAATATTTTTGGTAATTTTTCAGGAGAAAATTTTCTATTTATTAGTGGACTTGGACTCATAGGCCGCCTACGTACCCGACATCTCAGGATCAAAGCCCTCGTAGTTCGCCCGACGCTTACTTGTTTTAAAAAATTTGCTTACGTTCCCATCAGTACGTAATAGTTGCTTAATTTGATGACGATCCATCGATCGTAATTTGCTTGAGATAGGTTAAATGATTATTGACCACGTACCCATCGGGACGTAATAGTTTATTGATTTGAACACAATCCATCTATCGTAATTTGTTTAAAAAGGGTTACGTGATAAATTGATCATGTACCCATCGGTAATGACTTGATCGTATAATTTGATAAAATAATATTTTAGGAGTTATGTGGGCTTGAACCTTTAGGTCACCTACGTACCCGACATCTCGGGATCAAAGTCCGCGTAGTTCGATTTATGTTGATTTGTTTGTACGAAAAGACATTAACCTTAATGTGAAAATTAACTAAACTATTAGTTAAGGATAAATATGTTCAGTTACAATTGCATATCAATATTATTTAACTGGGTTGAGTGGCTAAACACTCAACTTGACGTTAAAATGTAACTGTTTGCAAATTAAAGATTTTTTTTTTCAAACATTTAAGAAAAGGTGAGGGCTACGTCGGGTTACTTAAAAATGTGAGGGACCAAACATGGAACTTTTCCTTGGTATTTTTGTAAAATCGCTAGGGTTTGAAGGTTAGTTTTGTGATTTTAGAAATTAAGAGATAAAAAATCCTTAAATGTGTTGTGATCCGACGCAGTGATGACCAAAACCCAACCTTTTTCCCCCTTTCTCTTTCTTCTGCTCCCAACACTGCGATCTTCTCCTTCCACGGCGAACCGAACAACAAGGAACAGTGGCGCGGCGGTGGTCTGGTGGTGCAACAGAGACGATGATCGACGATGGGTGGCGGCTGTGCGGCGACGAAGATGCGCTAGCCTGACGATTCGGCGGTCTGACAATGGGATAGGCTCGACGGTTGTCTGGTGGCGGCGACGGTGTTGGGGTGGAGCCACGGAAACGGCGATGTGAGGCGTATGGTGGTGTTGATCAGGTCGACGGCGACGGACTTGGGAGGGAGGAACTATAACTCCAAGGTGGCAGTGGTGTGGGTCGGCGATTGACTGTGAGATGACGACGGCGACACGGTGGACGCAGGCGACAACGGGTGAGCTTTTGGTATTTAATTTTTCTAGTTTTACGGAGTGAGGTAGGGTAGCGATATGATTCGTTTAATTTTCCAGAAATTGTAGAATGTTTGGATTTGAGATTATGAAAGGGTGAATGGTTGTTGATTAAGAACGAATCTCTTGATTTCTTTGTTTTCTTTGTGTTGGCTAAAGAAAATGGTTGCTCTCTGGAGTGGAATTTCGATCGAAAGATTTGAACAAACTGGCTATTTCCCCCCTCCCCCTGATTCTCATCCTGCTGCCTCTTCTTATAGGAAACCGAAGACCACTATACACCCATCTCTCAACCACTTCAGCCTACTCCCATCTCTATAATCAATTTCTGTACCTAGATCTGATTTCTCTTCCTTTCCATTTACTCTTCTGCCTTGTACAACTCACCAAAGCATGGAGCTTGTTATTGTTGGGATATGGATTAATATGCCTACACGTAGGGCTGCAAACGAGCCGAGTCGAGTCGAGTTTTTGCTTAGCTTGAGCTCGGCTCGTTTATTAATTTTTCAGCTCGAGCTCGGCTCGAACTCGAATTTTGATAATCCAGCTCGAGCTCGAGCTCGGCTTGAATAAAAATAATCTAGCTCGAGCTCGACTCGGTAGAGCTCGATAAATGCTCATTAACATAGCTTGTTAAGCTGAGTACAAGCTCGGCTCAAGATGAGCTCGATTTAAAATCATTTTTGCTGGAAAAATGTATAAACATAAGAATTTAAATGGTAGAAAGAACACTAGAAACTAGAAATAACATATAAATTTCATACACATCTGTATTATAAGACAATGTTCATGTTTAAAAGAGTAATTCATCCTTCCACAAGCTCAAAACAAGGCAGCTCGCGAGCTTAGCTCGACAAGCCACCGAATCAAGCTAGCTCGCGAGCTTATCAAGCTGAGCATGGTCTAGCTCAGGCTTGGCTCGTTAACTAACGAGTTGGCTCGCGAGCCGGCTTGTTAAATAACGAGTCGAGTGTCGAACGAGTTTTTCCCGATTCGAACGCCGAGTTGCTCGCGAGCGGCTTGGCTCATTTGCAGCCCTACCTACACGACTATAAACGGGCCCAAGCCCACTGTAAGGCGTCCTAGGCCCAAGCCCAATCAAGGAAGCCCAAACCCTATATAAGGAGGCCTTACCCTCCAAACTAAGGATCTTCTCTTTTCCCTTCCTCACTTTCCCCTAAGGTCTCTCTCTACTTTATCTCTCTACATACCATACACTCTCCTATATCGTACTAACTTGGGCGTCGGAGCGTATCCCGGGGGCCGCCCCCCGCCTCACAGGTTCTTCCACTCCCGAGGAGATCGGACGAGGGAGTCCAGATCGGAGCCCCATAACCGCCTAGTACTTTCTAGGCTCAAACAATTGGCGCCCACCGTGGGACAATGATTTGGAATTCTAGTGTTCGATTTTTGAAGGAGGGGAGAAATCGGTTCCTCCTCTACCAACTACAAGCAACAACGGCAGCCCTCGTCACCAACTACCAAATCCTAAGAAGAGCCGCCTGAGCTCTCGACAAAAAGGGAAAAATGGATCGACGACAAAGCCGGATGAAACAAGCAACCATAATAAATAAAGTCAAAAGGAAGAAGCAGAGTGTAGACGAAATTCCACCAAGATTTGGGGATATTTTCTTTTGTTTGAACAAGAAGAAGAGCCGGTCAACTCTCAAAAATAAAAAAAAGACTAGTAGAGCTTCTCCTCATCTGTCTTCCTCATCAATTCAATCAGATCTGCCTCTCTCTAGAGCGTCCTCGTCACCTTCTGAGACAAACCAGATCCAATCGAAGAACAACACTGGAAAATTTACAGATTTCGGCCGGCGGCTACTCCTCCCCCAAGACACTCACCGCCGACTTCCTCTTCCCTATGGAGGAACTTTCCTCCGCGAACCACAGGCAGTAGCAGCTAGAAAGAAGAAGAAAGAAAATATGGTCGCCGCGACATGTCAAGGTTGGAGCTCCGACGACGTGAAGAAGAAGTCGTCGCTACAGTTCTCGCTGCTCCTGTCACGTCGCCGCCCTCCCGCTCTATCGCTGACCTCGGAAAAAGGTGGACTACTCCACTACAAGTAGTGGTCTCGGCAAATGAAAAAGGGGGAATAGTCAAGCCAATTTCTCTCTCTGTCAGAAGAAAAGACGGGCACAGTTCTCAATGTGGCCACTTGCCCACGTTGATCCTAGACTTGAGGCCCTTTAAAAAAAAGGGTTATGTAAGAAGAAACGCTAGCGGAAATGGAGCCTAACGCGCCTGACATTATGCTAAGCGTTCAACCGTCTGCTCATGGTTGTCATGCCGGTGGCATGCCACCCGGTTGAACCTAGTTCAACCTGTGCTGGTCATAAAATCGGCATGACATCACCGGCATGACCTGTATGATCGACTTACGCATTCTAAGTAAAATGACATCATTTTAATGAATTTAATGAATAAAAATAATAATTTATTATTCATTTTATGAATGTAATAGTTAAAAGTTGATGATATTTGTTGGATTGTAACTAAATTGTCCACAAAAATGTTTTATATATGATTAAATACATTGGATATTAATTATTTTCACATTTTTTTAGACCGGCATGAACCGGCACAAACTGGTTATACCACCGGTCGTACCATTCCACTTGCCAAACCGGCACAACGGTATAAACCGGTTTGACAACCTTGCGTCTGCTAGAAGACATCCTTATTCAACAAATCAATGCCATGCCACCACAATCCGGCCCGCACAACATTTGGAGAAGTAACACGGCCCACTACGCGTCCAAAAATCGGCCCACCGCTCATCAGCCTCCCACCAGCCCATCTCCACAGGCGCGAAGACAGCCTACCACCGCTCTATGCAAGCAAGGACAGCCCTTCATCACACCAGCGCGGCAAATACAGCCCACCAGAGCAACCTCACAACTGTCCCACCTTACAAGCCCACACATTCTGGCTCCATCTAGCCTGCCGACATCCAACGGGCCGCCTCCAAGGGAGTGAATCAGATGTGGGCCGCCCCCAATCACATGGGCCCAGTTCAGCTCCCACCAACCGCCAAGTACTGGCTTCGTGTCATCTGACCCGTCTCAAATTCGAGAGAAGCCCCGCTTTCCACAACTCACCAAGAACCGAGAAGCCTCCCCTCGCCAGCCCGTCTCACGACAGAAGATCTAGCACGCGGCCCATTAGTCCAAGATCGCCTTCAGCCCATCTCCACAAAGCAGACCGCCCAAATGTTGAACCCGCCACGCATTTGAGACACGGACCGCATTAAACTTCACCACAGGCCCTCTGAAGCCCGCCTTCAGCCCATCTCCACAAAGCAGACCGCCCAAATGTTGAACCCGCCACGCATTTGAGACAACGGACCGCATTAAACTTCACCACAGGCCCTCTGAAGCCCGGCTCCCCTAGGCGGCCCATGCACGCGTCCACGGCCCATTGCTCGTATCAGACGCACAACTTATTAAAGAAAAAACAGAAGAACAGCCTCCGCCTGCCTTCGAACCGCCGACCTCTCACACGATGATATACACACCAACCAGTATGCTACAGGGCGAATTGCTGATCAATAATGCAGCCGCCAATACTTAACCGTTCTCCAACTTCTCTCAAGCTAAGTCAATTTTACAGAGATATATCTTATGCAAAGCGGTTCATTATTATTCTGCTAGGCGCTCTCTATGCTATATTAATACTTTAAATATATTGGGCTCTATCCACTTGCATCTTTCTCGGATACTCGAAGACTCACGCCTCCTGCCTCTGGACTAGGTTCGAAGATTCCCGCCTCCGAGCGATGCTCTCTCCGGAGAATGCTTACCGCCTCCGAGTGATGCTCCCTCTCGGGAATGCTTACCGCCTCCGAGCGATGCTCCTCTGGGGAATGCTTCCCGCCACCAAGCGATGCACCTGTTTATGCCTAGTAGATACTAGGCGGTTTGTGGAGCTGGGGCGAGGCGCCTGTTCTCAGATGTAGGGGTGTACTCCTGATACTCTGCAAAACAAAGGTCCGGGGCGGTTCGCCCGGGAGACTCTCCGAAGCTTAAGTTAGAGAGAGAAGGGGAGAGGTAAGAATTTATGTAGAGAGATGAATAGTAGTTGGCCTTACCATTAATGCACTCACCCTCTATTTATACCTGGTTTGAGGGTGGTTGGGGCATTAAATGCTATGTCGGACGCCCCGGAACTGGTCGGGCGTTCCGTGCAGGCTTTTTGGGTCATGTCAAGCGTCCTGGGCAGGCTTTCAGCCTTTCTGCAGGCCGCCTGTGGTTGGCAATAAATGCTCAGTCTTGCCTGACACCAGATACGCATCTTCAACGGCTCTCTGCCTTTCTGTGCTGCTCAGTTGCTTTATGTCAGGCGCCCTTATCTATTCCTCGGGTTCGCAGTCGATCATGGACCGCTCGCTGACCCGCTCTTTCGATCGGGACTGGCCTCCTTATTGGGCCTTAACCGGTGACTTGCCTCTCTTGGGCCCGAGGCCCAAGTACGCTCAACTATGCGGCCCAACAATTTCCCCTTAGGCGGGAAAAGCCTATGGTTTTGGCGGCTACCAATAATGCTCTCAGCTAGTTGAGCGGTTTGCTCCTCCTCCTTGTCCTACTCTGCCCCTGGTCGGCGGAGACCTAGGGTTGACTTGCCTAAGCAGTGTTCCAATCCCCTTGCGGGTTTTCCTGGCGGAAACACTTTATACACGTGGCTGTGGGTTGGTTTCCGTTCTCTGACACCGGGCAGGCAAAACGTCCTTTCACCTGCCTGCTTTTGAATTTTGCGGCCTAAAGCTCCCCCTCGGGCACTCAACCGTCACATCAGTCTCTTTTGCCGCTATATATACCCCGAGTGTTTCTGTTGAGAGGAACTTTCGCATTCCCTCTTTCTCTGTCACTTATTTCAAAATTGCACGGTGCTCTAAGTTCTCTCTCTCTCATTATTTGGAGACTCATCCTTCGATTCCGGCGGAACGATATCGGTTCCCTTCTTCTCTGAGGAAATCACAGAAACGAGACAAGAAGAAAAGAAAACAGTTGTCCGCGATGGCTTCTCAGTCGGCCACTCCGTCCGATAGCCAGAACCGCGGCCTCTCTGGCGAATCGGCGCCGCCGTCTGCTTCCGACGTCGCCACCAACATTCCTACTGCTACTGCGACGACCACAGCGTGCGACACGGCGGCGGCCGCCACCGGCAACGTCGCCGCTCCTCGCGTCAGCGTTAGCGCTGTGCGTACCTCTGCTAAAACCGTCAGTGCACGCGGTCCTGCCGCTGGAGCAGGTATGCCCGCTTTTTCCAACCCTTTAAGTTTATCCGACATAGAATGGGACTCGGAGGGTATTGAATTGATGTGTGGGGGTGGTAATGCGGTTGTCGCGAGTGAGCGTGTAGATAGACCAGACGGTTGCATTTTAGGGCTAGGGGTGGGCGCACTAACCAGACACGGCTACCTCCCTGATTGAGCGCGGAGCGACCTCCCGGGTTGGGTACAACCTGGTGGAGTTGTCCTCTGAAAGCGTGCCGGAAGACACGCCTCGTGACTCAGCCGGGGAGGACTTATTCACGGATTCCCCTTCATTGGCTCTATCGGAGAAGCCGATGATTCATCCGTTCCAGGCGGTTGCGGATCGCGAGTACCGTGTGCGCCTGCATGCGGATATGTGGGAAGGAAGAGAAGTTTCCGATGCGGTTTCTTCGTACGGGCCTAAGTACAAGCCCGCTTACTCTCTTGCCCAAGTACTCCGCCAACTTCACAGGCATCAGCTTCCCACGGACTGGAGTATGCGGCTCCATCCCTCGAAGGGCGTTGCGGTTCTTGTCCCGTTGGGTGGATCACCATTTTTACGGAGCATATGCGGTTAGGGTTGGAGTTCCCACTGGACCCGCTTCTCACTGGGATACTTCTACACCTTAACTGTTCATTGAGCCGTCTTTCTCCCTCCATAATATTCCATTCCATCTGCTATCGTGCGGCTTGCGACCGTCTAAAAGAGGAACCGTCAATCGACGCCTTTCGGCTGCTGTATGCCATGACCGGCTCGAAGAACTGCTGGTCACCCCGAAGGCAGTCAAAGAATGTCGGGTTCGTCTATGGGTCCCCAAAGCTGGATTCCCCTTGGTACAGTGAGTACTTTTTTGCTCGCCCGTCCGGGAAATTGTACTCGGGGGACATGGAGCCATTGACTGCGTTCTCCTTTGGGCAGACAGATGATTCGGACGAAGGGGTCAAGCAGCTGCAACATCTAAGACCGCACCTCGACCGCATCACTTCGACTGTCCAGTTTCGGTTGCCCCCGCATGGGCATGATAACGCTCTTGAGATTGTGCAGCGTTTTCACGGTTAGTTAGTTCTCCTAGACTTTGATGGGACGTAGCTTGCTCATGCTTTTACTTATGTATTCATTTTTCAGGTATCCGACGTTACGCGTCCTCAGCGAGGCCGCCTAAGGCAGCAGCGAGCGGGTCTCCTGCGGCCGTTGTCTCCAGTCCTACCGGTTCGGAGGGTCTGAGAACCGGGGGCGAATCTACTCAATCACAGCTGGAGTTGGGGCGCTCGGGCACCCTTAAACTGACCGTCCCCAGCGGGCAGACCACGGCTCGGCCCGCGACCAAGCGCCCGCTGGATGTGGTGGAGGTGCGGGACGAGCCGCCCTCGGGGAATCAGCCGAAGCTGAAGGGCATCCTGGTTGACCAACGCTCCGAGCCGCCAGTCACCCATAAGAAGCAGAAGACCACCACGCTTTCCTCCAGTGCGGCGTACTCACCGCACGTAGGGATGGCAATTTCGACCTGACCCGATTTACCCGACCTTTTTACCTGTTTTGGGGCGGGTCAAACCCGTCCCGTAGGCGAGGCGGGGCAGGCATGGGTACCTCTCATCGACCCGACCTGCCCTGACCCGCTCCATTCTCGACCCGTTCTTGCCTAAATTACACATAATATTAGTTAAATTACTTAAGATTTTCTTCTTATTACATTATATTTTAGCTATAATAAAGTTGTAAATAAGTGAAAACCTCAATTTCTTCAATAATTTAACTACATTTTATCATATTATGGTTTCTTTCTTGGTCTTTCAATGAAAAGAACGAATATTTCTAATGTTTTTCACATAAATTACATACCTCAAGCTTGAGGAGCAGGTGAAAGAGGGGCGCGAGTGTTTCCGCCAGGAGCTGCGAGATGAGATCCTCAAGGAGCACGAGGCGGCCTTGAAAGTGAAGGATGCCGAGCTGCAGACCGCCAGGGAGGATCTGGCGAAGTCAGCTTGAGAGCTGGAGGGCGCTCAGCAGAAGGTGCGGGAGGCGTCCGAGCGGGAGAAAGGGTTGCAAGACAAGGTGGAAAAGTTGGAGGCCCGGGTGGCTGATCTGGAGGCGCGGCGGGAACGTGAACTCAACGAGGCTGGGGAGGATGCTCGCGCAACCTTCTTTGACTCGGACGAGTTAAAGGCGGTGGATGAGGCTAAGTACCAGAAGCTGCTACGGGATACGGTAACTTCCATCCGCCACCTGTTCCGCCACGAGCACCCGTACGTGGTGTGGGATCGGAATGCGGTCTGGGACGCGGTGGAATTTTGGAGTGACCATGATGTCAACTCCGAAGTGGAAACCCAGCCCGCGGCCTCTGCGACCACTACTGGGGAAGAAGTGAACCAGCCCGCTCCCACCGAAGGCGACTCCTCTTAGTTTTACCGGCAATTTAACCAAGTGTTCTTTTCTTATTGTTTTCCCTTGCTTTCTCCCTTTGGGGCGCTTGATACATTCCGCCTTCGGGCGAGGTTTTGTAATATTTCACTTTGGATGATGCTTACGTTCCTTCTTCCTATTCTTCGAATGTTTGGAATTCTTTACTTGCGGTTTTTATTGTCTGTGTTTCCTCCTTCTTTTCCCTTGTTGGGGAATCACGCTTGAAGGGGAGAGACGCCCTTTGGACTTCTGTCGCTGGGGCGGCTTAGTGGTTAGTCCTAGCGTTATGCGGGTCTGCGGTGCGCTTCGATCCTTTCGTTACAAGCGCTTCGTACCGTTCGGGGGCGGTTTACCAGCTTGTGAGGTGAGACTTCATTTGTGAAACTTTGGGAAGTATTATGTTACTCCTTCCACTTTGTGACATAGTTCCTGTCTGAGTTGGGGGCATGGGCTCTTATTGTTTAAGTTAGGGACTTCGGGGAGTTTCCTGGATGTCGTGTGTGACACGGTTTTGTGTGCAAGTTTGATGCGTGCGTAACTATTGCTCTGGGGCGGTTCAGCCCCAATATGGCGTTGTAGGCGGGTGCATGCGTGTAGTTAGCGGCTGTGTTAAGCGGCCAAGAGTTATGAGAATAACTTAGATTGTTAACATAAAAACTTATCGCTCAGTGGCGACTTGAATTACTGAAGTCATTGACAGGAGTGTTGACTACCACTCTCACAAAAGCGCCTTTAACTGCGGCGTTGACTTCTTACAAAATTCCTACGCCTTACTCTTCTTTACTCGCTGTTGTACTTCCTTAGGTGAATAGC